GGGGGTGGGGGAGGGGGCCCATTGGTGTAGGTTGTTAATGTTCGGGGTAGGAGGGGCTAACAACTTAACAGTAAGAACATTAATGAATAACTAAACGGACTAAATAGCAGGAGGAATAATGGGTAATGGCTCATATGTTAGGTAGCGGCTAATGGGAATGTGGCTATTAGGTTGATCATTTGTGTTTAAGAGGCAATATAATAGAAATAAATGGATAGGACCTACATTAAAAGGGCTAACAGCGTAGCTGATGGGAATGGGGCTTACCGGTAGGAGAAAAACTAAAGTGGGTTCATTTTAGGGCTTAATAGGTAGGAGGGAGGATCTTAATGTCTGTTTACCATCTGATGAACCTGCAACCCTTGATCTTGCCATGAAGAGAAGTCTGCTTCAATCTTGTCGAATGTCAGCTCATTGAGTGCACCTCTTCTCTAGGAGAAAAAGTCATCAATTTCATCATACATACGATCTGTAGTGGACTGGACTGGGTAGATCAACATCAACCAGGTAGCTCAATCGGAAGAGTGTCCGTCCAGAGGTCAGAGGGTCCTGGGTTCAAATCACGGTCTGGCCGTGCATTTCTCTTTCTTCTTTTACAAAAAATGGTGAGTTTTCCAACCCTTGCTTCAAGCAATGGGTTAATGCTTGACAAGAGGATATCCCAATCTGCATTGTAAAATAGTTGTCCTTTGGGGGTGAAGACTTACAAAAAGGAAAGAGGAATGTAGCGGAACTCAACTGGCCGGTCAATCGTCAGTGACCAGGTAGCTCAGTTGCTAGAATTTCTGTCTAGAGTTCGGAGGGTCCCAGGTTCGAATCCGGTCTGGTCGTGCATTTCTCTTCTCCTATTACAGATCTATCACCAATATTTTGTTATGTTTATGTTATAATGGTTTATATGCACATACTTGCCAACTGTTTTTTAATCTCCAGTGGGTTCGAGATCAAATCGGGAGTCTCCTTCCAAAAGGGGGAAAGTTTGCAAGTTCATTTGTATGTTTACATCTTTAAATTGTACTATTAGGAATCTGTTTACCCACAAGTACAGATATAGTGAACTAGCCACACCTATCGCGTGGCGGGAAAAAAATTGGACCTTTTTTTACTGAAAAACAAAAATAATTGTGAAATTTTAAGGTCTTTTGACGCTTTTGTTTTGGCGTCGACATCTTTGACAATTTCACTATATCACGTGGTCAACAACAATGGATACTTGGGGAATCAGTATAAAAAGAAATCAGAATATGTGTTTAATTAATGAATATGATAAATTGCCATATTCAATACAATATTAGCAGATTACGATAATTTTTGGGGGTTTTTTTAAAAGGGGGGGGGGGCGTACGCCCATTACGCCCTCACCATGACCCGCCCCTGGGTACATATGTAGTGTACTAGCCACACCTATAATAGACTAGTATCTGTACGTTTACCCACGTACACGTGTTTTGTTAACAACGCAATACATGAATACAGAATACAGCTCGTATGTAACGAATTATTCCATCAGATGACAGTTAATTAACTGCTCAAGAGTTACCAAATAGCAGCATAAGGTGGCCGACAGTAATTCCCAACAGTGTAATCTAACAACTGATTCATTATAAAAGATTCGTCTCATTCTAGCAAAGCGAAAGTAATACGCTGCCATGTTGTAAATACTTGGCTTGCGATCTTAACCGGTCACGTCATGCACGGGGTATGGTAAATATATATATCCAACATAAATAATTAACAGTTGAATACACAAATTATGCAATAATGCTTATATTATTAAATTGTTATATATGTAATTATTTACTAATCATCTACTTACATGATTCATATTTATTAGTTGCAATATTTACATTACTATTAACTGTTAACCGTTAATTTAACTGCATTTAATCGACCAATGCGTCGATGAAAAAAAAATAGAAAATAATAATAATAACATTAAGTTGGCATTATTTTGAAATGTACATGACATAACAGAATAAAATGTATGTGAACTTAAAAATCCGGAACCTTACACCCGGTAACCGCTTTCCAGAGAAGATGTCCCGAGTGCCAATGCGTGGCTATTGATCACACTCGGGTGGTAATGGCGACCATATGTGTTTGTACCTATGTACATGTGCATATAAATATATAAAACTTTTCAGGGAAACCTCACCATCACAACGCGATAAGCCATGGTCACTACCACCATCAACAATTCCACAACCACCAGCCAACCACCAAAACCGATACAGCGATTGCCCCTCTCATCGTGGGTGGTTCCACCGCGGACCCAAAAGATTGGCCTTGGCAGGTATACATTTCATTTCTGATTGTGCAAAAGGCATAGCTTTTGCAAGTTTTTCTTTCTGTATCGTACTTATGTAATATCATCAACATTAACGTTTAAGATACTAACTTATATAATATCTAAATGCATTGATTTCGACTCGCATTTTTGTGACTCAAGTATATGGTCATTTATTTGCACATAATAAAACACTGTTTTATTTATCTATTCATTATCTATTTTTTTATGTATCAATTGATTGAATTATACGTTTGTTTGTTTAATTATCTATTTACGTTTTTTATTTTCATATCTTTTGATATTCATCTAAAACGCTAACATACATGTATTAACAAATATTAACAGTGTAATTCGGCGTCCAAATTTCTCAACTTCGTTATGAATTTCACGAAAAATACATGCACATAATATGTATTTTAATTATTATCAAATATTGATCCGGTTAATGTATATAGATTTTTACGGTAGTGTTTTTTTCAACGTTTCCAGTATCGTGACTTCTTTTCAAGTATGATTAAAACGTCCTAATAGTGCTCCTGTCACATTTCTTGTCATTGTTTAACATGGTGTTAGTTACCATTACCCGGAAAGTTATTACATTCTTATTGTGATAGGGTTGGTCATATTAGCATATTGAACATGGATAATTTATTTTCCTTATGTTTGGTCCTTCGTCTAGGATTTTATTGTTTACATGTGTTTTACTTCAATTCAGTGCTTCGGTTATCATTACTACTGGCGTTATGAAAATGTGAATCGCTATTATATAGATTGACGTGACATTCTTTGACCGGCTAGTGAGACTGCAGGTGGCCAACCAACAAGTTTGCTTTTAGTTGCAATATTTCAAGGGAAAAACCTAACGGACCTTCACATTTTAATGCAGGCCTTGGCAGTCTATCATATGCTTGCCAGACAACAATATTAAGTCACTTCATGCATTCCTATTTAATAAATGAACAACCGACGGTTTGGTTTCAGCGGCTCAAACCGTTTGGAATACAATAAACAAAAACGGCCGAAGTGTTCGTTAGAGCATGAAGAGCATGCACTTAAACGGCCAACAGTGACGACTGTGGTGCTGATCACCGAACCGCTGGATTCAAATCAAACACACACATAATCATCTACATAACAACAATTAAATCATAGATGAAGTACCAAATAAAGGGGAAATAAATTCTGCAAGACGGACGAGGGCTGATATATGATAAATAGTCCAACTCAACATTAAAAGTTTCCTCAACTCTCAGATGCATTTACATTGCATAAGTAATGCTGCGTATAAACAATAGCTTACTAAGATCAATACACACAAATATGCCAACTACACAACATCCCTTGGTATAAGGTTAGGGGCCCCTCGTGGCAACTACGGTCAGGGCACTTTGTTTCGATCTACATTTCCTTTCACTAACATTACAATGTCACTATCAAATATGTGTTTTTATATGCAAGACTTTGCACTAGTAAGATGTAGGTTGTAAGTAGAGTCATCATGCATGTAGTACTCACAACCTCTCGAAAGACGGTGTTTGCATATTAACACCACATACAAAGAAAATCTAAACTTTTCTAAATAACACCCCACCAACTCCAAATTACACTGTATCTATCATTTATTTTGTACATTCACTAAAAAAGAGATTTTTGGAGCGGAGAAGTAAGTTGGGGTCAAATTTTAGACTTTATGAGCGTTCCGCTTTTGTATAATTATGACTTTTTTGCCAAGAAATGATTTAAAACCCTAAAACGTCTAATATTACTTCCTGCACATCAGAATAGGTCCAAAGGTCCAAACATACTAACTGTAACTAATGACTCGATCTTTATGCGCTCGAGATAATCAGTACATTTCGACGCACTTTCTTATTTAGTGTTTTTTGTTTGCACCTCTGAAGGCGGCGTTATCGATGAATGGTTTCCTGTTCTGCGGGGGCTCTTTGATCGGTCCAAATGAAATCGGCGACTACTACGTATTGACGGCAGCGCACTGTGTCTAGTAAGTACTTCTATTACCATTTGTGCCTCGTGACAAACAAAAATTAACCTTCAATACTGGCTGTCCGTTGCCAGGTCAGTTGAAATACGTGTACAAGTGTAAGACAAATAGAATATGTCACCACTGTGTGATGTAGACACAGATATCTCAACCCATTTATTCATGTACATGTACTATCTTTTTGGTCCGAAACGAGGTTACTTGCCTGCCTCGCGGGTTGCCTTGTCCACATCACACACTAGGGATTGATTATAACAGCAGACTTTGAAAATGACTTTTACCTGACTCCCCGAGAACGTCAACTGAAATGGAGCTCGAAAAGGAGATCGTTTTAGTCCTTGTATTCCAAAACACAGGCAAACGTGTTTTTTTAAGTAAAAAGGCATTGTGGGATAAGAATAAAACTTTCACAAATTAAAAAGCATCCTATAAATAATATCCATGCTCATCCTAAAATGCCTCGTATGTACAATCAGCGCATAAACATTGGAAATAGGCAGAACAATTGATAGAACAATGAAATGGGTTAACTGGATAAAACAGACACTTTCCTTGAGGCTAGAAGACTAAAATTTACCAGCAAATCAATCTTTATATCGTATATTAATCATTTTACTGTAGTTGTGGTGGCAAATGCCTTTTTTCATTTTGAACTTAACTTTGATAAGTAAGAAAACAAATCAGGACCTGGAACTCACTTCAGCCACAGGTGATAAGCACATATTATATGATGTATATGATATACAGTATTAACTATAACTAATATCTTATACGTATAGCATATCAATAGTGTCCTGCACCTTTTCATTCACTTAAGATAGAGAGATATTTGAAATTGCCAAGTTTGAGATGTGTCCAGAAGCCATACCTCAAGGAGAAAAAACAAACGAAAAGTGTGTAGTGAAAATGGATTTGATGTAAGTGTACTCAAATGAGTAAACTTTATTATTTTATATATGCCTGCTTAATGAACGCGTGTTTTAAAAAACAGAAATGATATTATTTTGGTTAGTTTAGGTCATTTTGAAAACAGCAACATATATTTGTGATTTTCTACCCCTTTTGGTATACCCAAAACCCACTTTCGGTCAAACTTTACCTTACATAGTTTTTGCGCATATATATGCAAGACCACAGGAGCGCACGAGTGAATATATATGTCCGCGCAATAAATGAGTGCTTTCTGATTCGTTAGAAAAACACAAGTGTGTGGCCTTGCTTTTGTCACATACCTTCCGTATTTGGTAGAGATCGATACAAAGATTTTGTAAACTTTGATATGTTTTGCAAATACCGGGAGATTCCCATAAAAAGTAGTTCCGGCTAGTAGGTAAATACAACATTCCGTATTGCACATGTGCAATGCAGAACGTTGTATTTCATGGTCTGAAAATTGCTTGTATTGCTATAACAAGATTCAACAGGTATGTGATAATAGGCAATACATAACTAGAGGAATATCCTTATCTAAAGATAACACCTGTTATCAATAAATAAATCATAGAAAAAAAAACTCACAAAACCCTACACATATGATAATATGATGAAAAAATGGGCCTGAGTTCAGTGATTGTTTTATTACATATACAGTGTATTTATACAAGGTTCAGTTTTGCAGTACTTAGATTTCATGGTAACAATAATTCAGTTTATCTAATTTACTTCGGACTTAAAGAGCTAACATCTATCCGATAGTTTCATTATTCAGATTATCCACATCTCTGCACATTAAATTTAGGTGCAGTAATTAACAATAGTATTGCCACCGCATAGTGATGTTACATAAGATATCCTGTTTCAAATTTTCCTAAAAAAAATGCTAAAATACCCAACCTACTTGTACAAACCCGTTCGCCTCGATGTATGGACGACGGGGGATCTACAAACCGTTCATTGATATTGGTCCGCTAACTCACCCGGTTGCTGCTACATGTACATGTACACGTCAGTGTATGAGACTGACAGACGCTGTTAGATTTAGAAACTTATTTCTCCTACATTTACTTTATTTAGATAATATACACGTAGTAATACCAGGACCCGAATTATAAATTTCTATACAACTATTTTGAATAGGTGCCTATAACATAAACATGTTTTTTTATACAAAGGCATAAAAGAAGTTTTGCTTAATGTTAAAATTCCTTAGCGATAAAAATGCGGTAGACACAGAAACCAGAAGTAGGCAAACATTGATGATTTCTGTTTTTTTCAGTGGGGATACCGCGGGGAGTTTTAATGTGGATTTAGGACGACACAAAGTTAATAATGATCCCAATGTACAAAGTCGAAGTGTGGAACGTATAGCTGTACATGAAGATTACAATAGAAGAACACTTGAAAACGATATTGCCCTGTTGAAATTGGGAACACAGCCTAATATCTCCCAGGCAAACGTTGGCCCAGTAAACCTGCCCGAAGTTGCCGATGAACAACCTCCTGCAGGCGCCAACCTCTGGGTAACGGGCTTCGGCACCACTTCAAGCGGTAATGTACATTTAGTGTAGCTTTTCACTGACTTCCGCTCTCCGGACTTTGTCCGTACGAAATGCTTGCCTGATTCCTATTTTATTTTTTTGTGATTTCAAATCGTGGCTTATCAAAAAATGCGTTTTGTATCTCATTGGCTGATAGATACACACACGCGAAATATGGCTGTATGGCAAGATGGCCTATTCTATAAGCTTTACAATATGGGTATTAAAGGGAAAGTATGGAATATCATGTAACTAATGTATTCTCGATTTACCAGTAATGTTGTTTTTAATGGTCTCAAGTCGGACAATGTAATCATGAAACGGGGAATCTTACAAGGTGGGTCTTTATCCGCAAAACTGTTTTTAGTCTTTATTAATGATTTGCTAAATGAAGTGGAATTTAGCGGGAAAGGGGCAATAGCTCTTTCCTCGCGAATAAATATACCTACACAAGCTGATGACGTATGTATTATCAGCAATAACGTTAATAGTTTACAGTATCTACTATCTATTTGCGAGAAATACAGTAGAAAGTGGAGATTTACATTTTCCTCTACTAAATCTAAAACTGTTGTTTTTACTTCTAAAAAGAAACCCAATATTAATTGTGATATAACTGTATATGGAAAGAAACTACCAATTGTAGAAAGTATTACTCATGTCGGAGTTTTATTGAATAGTAGAAATAACAATGTCGAACGTACAGAACGTGCTTGTTCCCAATTAAAGAGTGGTGTTATGTCCCTAATTCGTTCTAGAGCACATCCATGTGCTCTGAATCCTTTAACCACTGCAAAAATTGTTAAGTGTAAAGTATATCCCTCAGCACTGTATGGGTGTGAATTGTGGCAATTAAAGCAAAATGAAATTTACATGTTAGAAAAAGCACAAAACTTCATTGTCAAATCAATCCAAGGTTTTAATGTAAGAACAAGAACAGATATGTGCACGTCCTTGATTGGTTGGTTTTCTGTAGAAGTATACATCAGCGTAAAGAAAATGTTATTTTTTGGTAGAATATGTTCCATGGAAGTTGGCTGTTTAACACGCGAAATTCTTATCAAGCGTCTATTCGAATTCAACCTGTCTCAATTTAGTAGAGGTTTTGTTCCCGACATTGTTAATGTTTTACAAAAATACAATTTGTATCATTTTATTGATGAATTTTTGAAGAGTGGTGTATTTCCAAACAAATGTCAATGGAAGCGTTTAGTCAATGACCATGTAAAAAACTATGAACAGTTTAACTTATGTGAAAGAATGAACGCTGATAGGGACTTCTCTCGCTTCACTCTTTTACATAATAAGATACAACCGTATGCTATATGGAAACTTGCTTTACGCTTTCCACAATACAGTCCATGTTTTAAGAAAATTGTTAAACTTTGTGTTGAAATGCGCGATAATGAAAATATATATTTGTGTCATTACTGTGGATCTATGTACAAAGATACTATTATGCATAGTGTACTCGAATGCTCACACACAGAGCTNTTCGTGCAACGGGTTCTACTCAATGTATGATTGTATTGTAAGACTTATGTAACAGTAATACTGTCTATAATAATGCTGTATAATTTATAGTGTGATGCTTGTAATACTGTTTATTACAATGTTGTATGATTGCTTAGTACGAGAAGTGGATTACTGTCTATACTATTATATGATAATGTAGTTTGAGGAGTGTAAATATGTCTATTATATCAATGTGTGATGTAATGTATGATTAGTGTTATACTGTCTATCATCATAATTATCACCGTATAATGACTGTAATAGTACCTATTATATCATTGTGTTGTGTTTATAGTACTTTATGGTATGATGCGTGTACTATTATTATTCTCTTACGTGTGTGTCTGTCCATGTGCATGTGTGAGTCACTATGTCAGGGTGTGACCATGATTGTGAATGCATTTTCTTCTCTTTTCAATAGTGTTTTGTCCGTTATTTCTGTAACTCTTCATTTCTGGAGGAAATAAAGGAAATAATAATAATAATAATAGATACACACACGCGAAATATGGCTATAAGAAGCTTGGTGAAGCAGGACAAGCATGTCTGCTGAAAAGAAAGCTAAATTTGGCAACTTAAAGACCTACACTGTCTGATATCAGTGTGTAAATCAAAGACGTGTTAGCTACATATAACAGGATACGGAAATATCTGGTAATTTCATAGAAATAAATCGCCATTCGTGTGGTTGTTGCAGTCGTAGTTTCCTCAGTGATCCCAGCTACTGACGTAGTTATTAGTGAAACATGAAACTAGTGAATGTTATTACAATGGTGCCCTATTAGACCCCCTAATGTATCAAGGGGTCTTAGTGCATTTAAATGACATTAAGCATATATCTGTAATACATCAATTGTTGGGGAATAGTTTTTTTTATTACACGAGGATTTCTCAAAAATTTAGTTAAGGGATGGTTTCAGTAAATACCTAATTCCATATTTTTGTCATTCTCATTCTTTGAGATGCAAAGTTCATTGACTTGACATATTAACGTATTGCAGATAGGCAAAGCGCATTATGAACCAAGCTTACTGACTTGTATTAAGCTTTTTACTTGCGTACGTGCATATTAGTGATGGTGAGTTAAAAGAGGAAAACAAGAAATCCCTTGCATGTACAAAAATGTAATTATCAACTATCAACACAATTACACGAGATGGAGATAGCCCGAGTTTCCTCTGGCCTTGACCACAGGGACCTCCAAAAACACACGCCATTTCAAAGTTTTTCGCAGTCATCGTGCCACTTTTTTGAATATCAACGAGGATAAGGTACTAAATTCCGTCAGTAGAGTCCTAGGTTTTCAATCGTTTAAAATGTCCCACTTGAGCGAACGCCATTTTTGTAGGTCATGGGAGTGACTAATCAACAAGCCGTACTGATCACTTGCAAAGTTTTCCATTGTCCATAGTTATGCTTGTCCAATTTTGGGATTGATCGGAAAACCAAGATGCCCGACGTGTGGCCATCTTGTTTTTTGACAGTTAAAGATTGCTAGCGCTATTTCTCAGAATGTACTTTAGGGATCTTTCTCATATTTACATTAAGGTATCCCATGGTCCCTAGTCGTTAGTTATGCAAATTTAATTTTGAGACTGATCGGGAAACTAAGATGTGTAACCGAGTAATCAATAACTCAACCCGGTTACACAGTTACACACAGTTACACACATGCCACTCAATCGGAACTCCTCGGTCTTTTCTACGTTACTTTTCGGTTACGGAAATGGCCGAGTGGTAACGATTGACATGCCACTCTCATACATACAAAGGGAAATAACTCTTACTCAATCTATTATACAATTATACTTATTTTCACATAACATGTATTTTATAAATATTATTCCATTTCTTATGTATATTCTGAAATACTTTTAGACAGAAAACACTATCTTTCATTATTGAATATAATTAATAATGATACACCATATGGTAATTAACACATACCTCTAGCTCTACGAAGATATACTCATTTAAATATATAGCATATATTAATATTTCCAATTTATACATTCAAATAAACTTTAAAATAAAACCTGTAAACACATACCCTGCATAAAAAAAGGGTTTGCCTACCGCCTCTTTTATTCTCATCTTTGGACTTGATTTGTATCGTATTCTATAAATGAAAATAATCTAACATTAAAACCCTGGTACAATCACATTTAGCAATAACCTATATGATAGTTATTTTTGAATCAGAATAATATTTTACCAAACATTATTGACCGGTGTCCTTGAAATATTCACATGGCTATTATATTACCAAAAATACTGTTATTACCTTTAATTTGAATAACAACAACAATTCCGATACAAATGTACCTTACATTTACTGTATGAAATTATATTGCTTAATACTCTAGTTACTTTTATATAACTTTTACAAATACTTATAAAATCCTGAATATCTTACCTTTAATGCTTGTGCTCACCAGTCACGGACCAATCAAATGTCTCCCTCTCCGTCAGATGTCATCACATGTATACTTAATTACAGGTACACACACACATTAAGGATGCATTCCCCTTCATGTCCATGGCAATGGTTCTAAATAAAATGTACAATCATCTTTATTATTTGCTAGTCCACCAGTAAAAGTGCTTAAACCCATATATTGATATGAACACATAATATATATATATATATATATATATATATATNAAAAATTCTCAACAACGAGTCTTTAGTACTTTCATCTCTTCTAGGAGATTCTTCAAACTGTACTTTGAAGTATATGTTGTGACGTTATTTCATATAATTCCTCATCACAAAGCATGTCAGTAATAAGTTTACAATGAAAATCGGTGTTCATAATTACAACTGCACCGCCTTTGTCCGCTTCTTTTATCACAATTGAATGGTCGTTTTGTAAACTTTTCATAGCTTGTGTCTGCTTAAAAGAAAGATTATTTTTGACATGTCGATTATTACTTTGTGAACTTTATTACTTTTGTGAACTTTCAAGTGGGAATATATAACACATGACCACTAGTCTTATAAATTCATACGGCCACACATGAGTAAAAGATTGTTGGCGCTATTTTGCCAGAAAGTACTCGATTAATCTTTCTCAAAGGTAGGGTCAACGTCTATGGAGATTTAACATTAGCGTCGGCCCCCGCTTGGAATTTCAAAACAAGATACATACAAAAAGGTATGGGTATAGGAAGCTTAAATCAGGAACATTTAATTTCAGAATTAATTTTATGACAAATGGGACCTCATTGACTTACACCAGTGTGGGTGTTAAAGGTGCAGTAATACAATTCCTCGTAGAGCATTAAAATGACACAATTACTATAAAGATTATTATAAAAATTGTTTGGGGAGTCAGACACGGATATCTTTCGTTGCCCTATTTGTTTAGAGTTAAACATATAAAATAATGTAATATTCCCTTCATATTTTGTTTAATGAATGGGCAATAGGCGAAATAAAATTATAATAAAGTGTATATTACTTTGACCATTAAGATTATTTTATTGGTTTTATACAATTGCAAATATTTGCCTATAATTCAATCTCAACCTTAATTAGTTCTCCAGAGGAAAGATTACTTTGGCAGAATACATGTTTATGAGTTATTATGAGTTATTATTGATGTATATAACTTAAAAACATGCGTAATATAATATAGTGTTTTAGTGTGATACAGAACAGAAAATGTTTCGGTATTTACCTTGATAAACATTCCTAATCAAATCTCCATGATTATGTAAAATTGGACATTGATCGTGTTCGGCATGCTAAAAAACTACTTTACCGGTTTTGATATTACATAAAATTGTAGACAGACTATATATATGGAAAGTTTTTAAAGAACTTTAAAATATAGACTACCATTGTAACTACATGTATATATAGGCAAGTTGTTTTTTCAAATTAAAAGTATCACTACGCTGACTTCATGTATTCCACTATGACATATTTAGTATCAAAATAACAATAATTTTATACACTGTAAACTGTCATAATTCATTTTCGAAATTACTTTCGCCTGTGACATTTATCTGTCACCTTGCTACATGTAGGATACCCCGTCACTAAACCTGATGTTAGGCCAGAAGGTCCATCACGGTTATCTATGGTGGCTTATTTGTGCCATTTCGTTATTTCGCCGCGAAAAAATGAGATTTTAAATTATATCATGTCGTTGTTTGATTATTTCGCGGAGATGACACAGCTCGTTGTTTCGTTATTTCGAGGCAAGATTACGACATTAAGTAAAGTTAAAATGTCGTTGTTTCTTTATTTCGCGACGAGATGACGACATTTTAGATACAAATATAATGTCAACAACGACATTTTATAATTTAAAATATCGTCATTTCGCGGCGAAATCACGAAAGAAGCTATCAGTAGTAATATTGAATACTCATTTAAGCAGGTATTGTTCATTCCTTGAACATGTATCTACATATGGCGAACAAATAAAAGAAATCTAAGTGGGAGCCAAGTGTTGACCCCATCTTTCACATAATGATTTACCAAGGTCCCTTGTTATGCATATTTTTTGGGACTGATACATGTAGGAAAACCAAGATGGCCACAAGACAGCCATCTTAAACATTGACAGTTCAATTTTGTTATAAAGTATTTTATATGTGTGTCCCCCTTTGTTCCCTTGTTAAAAATATCCCTTGCAGAAATGAGAAATCATCCGACATTGGAAGCACTTTTAATTATGTAAGAGTTACACATTGTAAGCATTTTGCGTATAGTTACGCAATTCTCATAAAATAATATCTGTCTTCATGGCAAATAGCATATGACATTATGAGGTTTAAGTTAATGTACAAGATTCCCGTTTAGGATTTCCAACATGGGACTGGGTAATAGTACCTAAAAGGAAATTGAAGAGCGAAGAAGGTAAAGATCTGATAAAGATCCTTTCATGTTTTGCGTCAAGATCCTTATAGGATCCCTTGTCGTCATTTTGTTCTGAAAACTAATATCTTTTTGCATCTACGTCATTATATTGCCAATGTAAAATATGAACTTTATTGATTTAACAACAATTATGAAACAAGTTTTAATAACTCTTTCTTGCCAAAATGAAAGTGGGCAAAGGGTCTACTGCTTTTAACGTGGGAGGTAACCGGAGTACTAGGGGGGGGGGGACCCACGTGGTCGGGTGAGCCCGGCTGTCTTGATTAAAGACGTGTATGCTATCTACTACGCCACCCGGCAGACCATATTACCAAGTCCAGTGTATATGTTGAATATGTCCCAGATGACAGCAGTTTTTCGAAAACGTTAACTCGAAAAATCAATTCGAAACTCGGAAAAAAAAACTCTAGCGGACCATTGGTGTCCGAGATTGCCGGATGACACCATTGGGCTCGGTGGTCTGTCAGGAGCCGGGGGGGGGGGGGGGGGGGGNTCCTAAACGCGTACTCGTTGGTAGGGCTGTAACGATACACATATGCCACGATACGATACGTATCACGATATCTACCCACGATACGATACATTTTGATACGATACAGGATGACGAAATGTTATGCTTCCTCTTCAAATGCGTCGCCATGTTTGATGTGTTCACTGAAAAAGTGCTTTTCCATCGGGGACATTTCGAAGGAATCCAAAATGCAGAAAGGTTTTTTTTAACCCTTTATGCTGCTAAACATTGATTTCTATGTAAAGGGACACCACTGCTGAATTAATTATTGAAATATAAATTAATTTACTTGATTTTTCAAATGTGCATAACTTGAAAAATATATGTTATATGTGAATCAGTTATTATTGTTCGTTATTGTCTCTAGTTTACATTAACGTTTTCAATTCTAAAGTTGCTTCATTATTTACCTGTACAGGTGGTAATAAAGGTAAGAAAGGGTGAAACTTTTAATAATCGTATTTAAGCACCAGAAAAATCATTTTAAAATTATTTTTGTAAGCAAATGTGATTGGCAAATGATATCAGAGATTATAAACTTCATTTATGACATAAGACGCTGTACATTATCAGGTATGTCATCAAGAATTGCATGTGATTTGCTACAGGTTTCAAGTCGTCATTCGATATATTTACTGTCACAGTCGGCATAGAGTATAGATATATATTAGCTACGGTCTAGTTTATGATAAAATCATCGATATATAGTTTGAAGAAATCAATCGGCTCAAAACGCATCAATGTTAATGTTCAATTCGGCCTCACCTGCAGACGACATGTGCGCCTCGGTCCGCCGATATTTACCTGTTTGCGTAGGGCACAAAGCCGTTCATTGGAAAGTAACATTTTATGCTACACCGAAGTTTTTTCCACATCAACCATGTCAAACCCTTCAAAACCTTTATTATCATCGTAGGTGACGCTGGAGAATAAATGTTTACGTTACACATGTGTGGTTAAATTCCGGAAGTCAGGTAATACTAAAAACCGAACCGAACCGAAACACGGAAAAAATACCGTAAACCGAACCGAAGCAATTTCGCGCGGTTTTCGGTGCACCGCGGTGTATCGTTACAGCCCTACGGCCGTCGGTAGGGATGATGCCGCTATTCGAACGTCCTTTGCGTTTTCTCCCATCACATTGTCTGTAATATAAAACATCACACAAATATTATGGGGTTTTTTTTCACACGGATAGTAAAAAGCATTTCAATCAAAAATAAGGAATTGCGTGCATGTGATGGCAAATCAATAAATATGGCAATACTCACATTATACTTTAAATACTGATTATATCGAAGTTTCTACAAATATTTAATTTAGGAACGTTTGTCTACACAGAGAGGTATATATTTTTTTTATTTTAAAGAAAATTTCATTACTAGGTGGAACATCACCTGAGTTTCTACAAGCTGTGGAGAAGCCTTATGTACTTGACTCCGTTTGTGCAAGAAATAGCGTATACGGGAACGACTATTACCCGGATACAATGTTGTGTGCGGGGTCAACAGGATTGGATGCATGCCAGGTAACTCCATTACAATCAAACCTTTTCGCAGTGTTAGCCATTGCAATCGCACTTCATATTATCTTTAGCTATTATAACCGTACTACGTCAGATTCAGACTGTTTTATTCCTTGTGTAAGACACATCGGAGAGTAGACATACAAAAAGTACAGTATATTACAGATTTACAATGATACATGTATACAATAATAGTCAAATGCAATATGATGCATATTGTACAATGGCATACGTGATAACTCATTAATCGTGCAGTACTACAAAATGACATATCATAAGAGACAGCATTTTACACTGAAATACACCAACATCGTGAGGTTCCGATGCAGTGAAATCATAACAATAGTATATTACAAGGATAATAATACTATGATAACTTTCAATGACGTACGTTACATGTCATGATAACAGGATTTAATAAAGTTACATACATTGTATCGCACATATGTCACGAATAAATACAATCTAGTAGAACAGCAAAGAACAATGAAATGCACTGCCATAGTGTAATAAACACACCTGACGTTAGTGAAAGTGATATTACAATATAGAAAATACTCGTCGATGTTTCGACGTTGTTAATTATGATTAATTTACCATATATTTTATATCACATAGGAAAGGTAATGAACGGGCACAATCATTTTTTTTACACAGTACACATAATACAAATATGGTATACTGAAATGTATATTTACAGGAAAAATGGGATAAAATATTATACAGTGCTATTACGACGTTTTAAACTTAAAAACAGGAATGTTCCTGATTTATTCAATTCCTTAATGTTTTGAGTAGTAAATAACTGAATCAATTTGAAAACACTGGTTGTTTGTAATAAAAAGGCTTAATAAACTCGCGCCTTAAGGCTGTACACCTCTGAGAAGTCAAAATATTCCTGTATTAAACTTTTTTTCTTATATTGATTTTTGGAAAAAGGAGATAATGGCATAGTAGAAAATGCAAAAAAAAACTGTACAGTATGTCGGTGTGTTCGTTTTTGTGCTATGATCGGTCAAAGTTACCAATTTAACACAATATGTGATTTTAGGTGAATTTTCGGGTTTTGAACATTTGCAGAACAAATTCATACAATTTCTTCCAAGTGTGTTATCAGATATGTATGAATGTTTGTAGAATTGATAAAAATATTATTTTCTTTGAAACTATGGAAGTCAAATGTCTTAAACTTATCGATTTTACTCAGAAATGCGATTTTAGTTACCCCTACCCCTTATTTTTTAATGAAAAAATGCACATTTTTCACCATTTTTTGCCGATCAAACGCTTGATATAAAAAAATCCTGTAATGAACTTTTTTTAGTATTCAATGAATCAAAAGAAAATGTGTTTCTCTTTCTAAAACAGCCACAAAAATGGGGGGTCGGTGTGCTTCTTTTTTTCCCATTATTATTTGTGTTATTTTTCACCTTTTTCGGGGTCAAAAATCAAAAGTGCTTCAGTTACCCTAATATGTAAAAAAAACTATCAATAATATATAACTTTCCACTTTTTTACATATTATTTTAATCATATTGAACATTATAAAGTTGTACAGCAAAATTGAACCTGCTACAATTAAAAATGGTGACACAATGACAATTTAAGTGATCAATCTAGGTGTCAAAAAAGGTGAATTTTGGCCCTTTGCGAAGCGCAAGAAATTCACATAAATACACTTTTTCAAAATGGCCGCCAAATTGGTCATTTTTTTAAAATTCTTGTTAAAAATGTTCTACACACAACAGACATCTAGTTTTTTTTACATGTTTTTCAGATGTGTGTTTGCTATTATACCTATCATAATTTGTTAAATATTACAAAAACCCGTTACACCAGATCAAAACGAGACTTGAACGTGACTGAAATGAAATTCATCTTCAATATCATTAGAGTTACATAAGTTACAAAATCTTTGATCTCTAGGAAGGTTTCTATATCTTCCCTGTTCAATATCTAAATTATGAGAGCTAAGTCTAAAGCGAGCTAAAGTCTTTTTATATGAGTTATTAATTGGTTTTATTAAATATGATTGCACAGAAAAAAAATCAGTTTTCTACATACAGACAATGGTAATCTTCACAATAAACTAAATTATTCAAGTACAAGTACTCTTCTTGACTCCGAGTAGGCTTTTACAAAAATGTATGTGAATCTTTTCAACATCAAGAGCTTTATGAAAGCCCAATACTTCTGCACTGTAACTTAAGACGCTATCAATATAAGTGTCGAATACAGAACATTGTGTTTTGATATTAAAATTATGATTTTTGAACTTATTACAAAGCGCATAATATGCCTTATTACCTTGATCTGCAACATGCTTTTGAGTGACATAAAATGTACCGTTTGTTATTAACGTCATACGGTTAGTTATTGTTATCGTACTACCTTCTAAGGTTGGGCCTTTATAACAGTGCTACGTCATCATTTTAGCCATTATAAGCGTTCTACATTAATTTTAATTATTGTACGTCATAAGGTTAGCCGTTGTAATAGCACTTCGTCAAAGTTCAACCATTATTATCGTGCTGTGTCATTAATATAGTCATTGTAACCGAACTACGTCAAAAGGTTTGGCCTGTATAACCGTACTACGTCACGCATATTAGCCATTATAGCCGGACTACGTCATCAGTTTTAGCCATTGTAACCACACTAACCACACTACATTTAGCATTGTAAGCGTGTTACGTCATAGGGTTAGCCATTGAAAACGTACTGCGTCATAAGGTTTAGCCATTATAACCGTACTACAGTATTGTTTGATTATGATCTGTTTCATATCCTCATTGGAGGAAATGTAGAGTATGAGTTGAATTCATCGGAGTTAGATGTCTTTCGCATAAAATCTGTCACTTGTATATTCAGAATGTGCTAACTTAACTACAAATGATGTCTTAACCTAACCTTTATAATGTGTCAATTGTAAAATTCTTCCTTTTTCTGTATTTCGTATGATGGGCATCTCTCTTAAGTAACTTAAGATAAGTTAAGGAGAGTAAAGACGCAAAGAGGAGTTAACTCCAGCGTAACCCTTACTTTACAATACAATTTATCTTTTGAATTTCAGTTTGTACATTACTTTGTCAATTTTCAATGAATGCATTTATGTACGTTATTTTGTCAATTATCAATGAATGCATTTATGTATTGTTCTGTTTGTGAATCTTCGATTCGGAGGAAATTAAGAGAATAATAAAGTTTGGTTTTTATTACCGTACCACGTCATCAATATTAGCCATAATAACCGTATTACATCATCGATTTTAGCCATTGTAACTGCACTATGCCATACATTTAGCCATTGTAAGCGTGCAACGTCATAAGCCATTGAACAAGTATTACGTCATAATACTTTTGCCACTGTTCTCCAACTATATAATGTGTAAGCAGGCGACTCCGATGTAGAGATGATAATTGTTATGATGAAGCATCAACACATGAAGGTCATACAGGGTCAAGTTGTAGGAACTGAAAGTGTAGTGGTAGACGAAACAGCATATGTGCGTTAATATGCGTTAATTAACATACAAGTAACAAAAAATCATAATTTTAAAGAAAACATATTTATATTGGCAAGTTTTTCTTCATTTGATTGATAATTCCTGTAGTATACGTATCTGTATAGAATATGTACTCAGCATTTATCGACAGCTGTATTGATAGCAGTGCTTTTATACCCTATCCTCCGTTTCAACTGGCTTCCACATAATTTTTCTCTAATACCTAAATATGAATTTGTAAACGATATGAATTACAATGTTCCTCATTCTCTTAATTTCTTAATAAATGTTTTTTTTGGATAACCAATTCATTCACGATATGTTGGAATTAATATGAAAATTATTTTCATTAATGTATTTGTCGTTAACTTTTGCAGGGTGATTCCGGTGGCCCTCTCGTCCTTCTAAAATCAGATGGCTCATACACACAGTACGGTACGTAACCCTTTTTATACACAATCAATAATGACTGTTCGGTAAGTAACCATTCTTATACACTGTCCATATGACTGTTCGGTAAGTGACCATTCTGATACACTGTCCATATAACTGTTCGGTAAGTAACCATTCTTATACACTGTCCATATGACTGTTCGGTAAGTGACCATTCTTATACACTGTCCATATAACTGTTCGGTAAGTAACCATTCTTATACACTGTCCATATGACTGTTCGGTAAGTGACCATTCTGATACACTGTTCATATAACTGTTCGGTAAGTGACCATTCTGATACACTGTCCATATAACTGTTCGGTAAGTGACCTTTCTTATACACTGTCCACATAACTGTTCGGTAAGCGACCATTCTGATACACTGTCCATATAACTGTTCGGTAAGTGACCTTTCTTATACACTGTCCACATAACTGTTCGGTAAGCGACCATTCTGATACACTGTCCATATAACTGTTCGGTAAGTGACCATTTTGATACACTGTCCATATAACTGTTCGGTAAGTGCCCATTCTTATACACTGTCCATATAACTGTTCGGTAAGTAACCATTCTTAAACACTGTCCATATGACTGTTCGGTAAGTGACCATTCTGATACACTGTCCATATAACTGTTTGGTAAGTGACCATTCTTATACACTGTCCATATAACTGTTCGGTAAGTTACCATTCCTATACACTGTCCATATAACTGTTCACTAGGTTACCATTCTGATACACTGTCCATATAACTGTTCGCTAAGTGACCATTCTTATACACTGTCCATATAACTGTTCGGTAAGTAACCATCCTTATACACTGTCCATATAACTGTTCACTAAGTTACCATCCTTATACACTGTCCATATAACTGTACAGTAAGTTACCATCCTTATACACTGTCCATATAACTGTTCACTAAGTGACCATTCATATACACTGTCCATATAACTGTTCGGTAAGTGACCATCCTTAATCACTGTCCATATAACTGTTCGGTAAGTGACCATTTTGATACACTGTCCATATAACTGTTCGGTAAGTGCCCATTCTTATACACTGTCCATATAACTGTTCGGTAAGTGACCTTTCTTATACACTGTCCACATAACTGTTCGGTAAGCGACCATTCTGATACACTGTCCATATAACTGTTCGGTAAGTGACCATTTTGATACACTGTCCATATAACTGTTCGGTAAGTGACCTTTCTTATACACTGTCCACATAACTGTTCGGTAAGTGACCATTCTGATACACTGTCCATATAACTGTTTGGTAAGTGACCATTCTTATACACTGTCCATATAACTGTTCGGTAAGTGACCATCCTTAATCACTGTCCATATAACTGTTCGGTAAGTGACCATTCTGATACACTATCCATATAACTGTTCGGTAAGTGACCATTCTGATACACTGTCCTTATAACTGTTCGGTAAGTGACCATTCTTATACTCTGTCCATATAACTGTTCGGTAAGTGAGCATTCTGATACACTGTCCATATAACTGTTTGGTAAGTGACCATTCTGATACACTGTCCATATAACTGTTTGGTAAGTGACCATTCTGATACACTGTCCATATACCTGTTCGGTAAGTGACCATCCTTAATCCCTGTCCATATAACTGTTCGGTAAGTGACCATCCTTAATCACTGACCATATAACTGTTCGGTAAGTGACCATGCTGATCCACTGTCCATATAACTGTTCGGTAAGTAACCATCCTTATACACTGTCCATATAACTTTTCACTAAGTGACCATTCCTATACACTGTCCATATAACTGTTCACTAAGTTCCCATTCTTATACACTGTTCATATAACTGTTCACTAAGTTACCATCATTATACACTGTCCATATAACTGTTCACAAAGTTACCATTCTTATACACTGTCCATATATCTGTACAGTAAGTAACCACTCTTATACACTACGTTGTTATACATTATCCACAATATATCTACGATAATTAACCATCCATAACAATTGTACCGTAACTATTCACAATACGACTTATGAACATATACACATGTCCATATAACTGTTCGCTAGGTTACCATTCTTATACACTGTCCATATAACCGTTCGGTAAGTGACCATCCTTAATCACTGTCCATATAACTGTTCGGGAAGTGACCATTCTGATACACTGTCCTTATAACTGTTCGGTAAGTGACCATTCTTATCCACTGTCCATATAACTGTTCACTAAGTGACCATTCCTATACGCTGTCCATATAACTGTTCACTAAGTTACCATCCTTAAACACTGTCCATATAAATGTTCACTAAGTGACCATTCCTATATACTGTCCATATAACTGTTCACTAAGTGACCATTCCTATACGCTGTCCATATAACTGTTCACTAAGTTACCATTCTGATACACTGTCCATATAACTGTTTGGTAAGTGACCATTCTGATACACTGTCCATATACCTGTTCGGTAAGTGACCATCCTTAATCCCTGTCCATATAACTGTTCGGTAAGTGAGCATTCTGATACACTGTCCATATAACTGTTCACTAAATAACCATTCTGATACACTGTCCATATAACTGTTCACTAGGTTACCATTCTGATACACTGTCCATATAACTGTTTGGTAAGTGACCATTCTGATACACTGTCCTTATAACTGTTCGGTAAGTGACCATTCTTATCCACTGTCCATATAACTGTTCACTAAGTTACCATCCTTAAACACTGTCCATATAAATGTTCACTAAGTGACCATTCCTATATACTGTCCATATAACTGTTCACTAAGTGACCATTCCTATACGCTGTCCATATAACTGTTCACTAAGTTACCATTCTGATACACTGTCCATATAACTGTTTGGTAAGTGACCATTCTGATACACTGTCCTTATAACTGTTCGGTAAGTGACCATTCTTATACACAGTCCATATAACTGTTCGGTAAGTGACCATTTTGATACACTGTCCATATAACTGTTCGGTAATTGACCATTCTTATACACTGTCCATATAACTGTTCACTAAGTAACCATTCTTATACACTGTCCATATTACTGTTCACTAAGTTACCATTCTTATACACTTTTCACAATGACTTATCACTAGGTTACCATCCTTATACACTGTCCATATAACTTTTCACTAAGTGACCATTCCTATACACTGTCCATATAACTGTTCACTAAGTAACCATTCTTATACACCGTCCATATAACTATTCACTAAGTTACCATTATTATACACTGTCCATATAACTGTTCGGTAAGTAACCATCCTTATACACTGTCCATATAACTTTTCACTAAGTGACCATTCCTATACACTGTCCATATAACTGTTCACTAGGTTACCATTCTGATACACTGTTCGGTAAGTAACCATTCTTATACACTGTCCATATTACTGTTCACTAAGTTACCATTCTTATACACTGTCCATATAACCGTTCACTAAGTTACCATCATTATACACTGTCCATATAACTGTTCACTAAATAACCATTCTGATACACTGTCCATATAACTGTTCACTAAGTTACCATTCTTATACACTGTCCATATAACTGTACAGTAAGTAACCACTCTTATACACTACGTTGTTATACATTATCCACAATATATCTACGATAATTAACCATCCATAACAATTGTACCGTAACTATTCACAATACGACTTATGAACATATACACAATCAAACTATAACTACTCAGGGACATCTCAATGTTTTCGTACGAGTACATGTATTTGTTTTATCTCGAAATGTTACATAATTTTCAACGTTTACCTAACGATACCTAACGATCGGGCATCGATTGCAGTTCGAAATAGCGGGAAACTCGAATAAAAAAATTGATTCATCAATTGAATGTCAGTAGTAATAAATGAGGCAAAAACAATCGACACATCCAGAAATCCGAATGTTCGAAGTTCGATTTATGGAAGTGTGACTGAAGTGTCAACCCCACCCACCCAACACATCGTTTTGTTTGTTTGTTTTCCATCATGTTTTGTACGAATATCGTGATTTCCTCCAGATGTAACAATACGGTGTTTTGTTGTGCTTAGGTGTTGTCAGCTGGGGGATCGGTTGTGGATCACCTGGTTACCCTGGTGTGTATGCTGAAGTGTCACATTACCTTGACTGGATTAAAAAAAACATGTATTGATCTAAGATGGAAACTCGCTTCCAGATTTTTTCTAATTGTCAGTAAACCTGTGTATGGGGAAACCCCGAATGAAATAAAGTTTATGAAGAAAGCGCTTCTTTGTTTTAAATGTATTAAATGTACACAAATCGTAAGACGCCAATGTATTCAGAAGGAAGTTACAATGTACAGAAATCGTAAGACACCAATGAAATAAGAAGTAAGTTGCAATGTACAGAAATCGTAAGACGCCAATGTATTCAGAAGGAAGTTACAATGTACAGAAATCGTAAGACGCCAATGTAATCAGAAGAAAGTTACAATGTACAGAAATCGTAAGACGCCAATGTATTCAGAAGGAAGTTTCAATGTACAGAAATCGTAAGACGCCAATGAAATCAGAAGTAAGTTGCAATTTATATAAATCGAAAGACGCCAATGTATTCAGAAGAAAGTTACAATGTAAAGAAATCGTGTGACGCCAATGTATTCAGAAGGAAGTTACAATGTACAGAAATCGT